CCCTGCGCCAGAGTGGTGGAATGAGAAGGGTCAGAGGGGCAGGATGGGCTTGGGAGCCAAAGCGTGGAGCGTCCAGGGTCCTACTGTAGTCCACAGTGGTTCCAACTCCTGCTTGCAGGTAGCCCCAGCTGTGTGTGCCTGCAGTGGCGTACGGCCTGGGCAGCCACAGCACCAGCCAGCAGCTCCTTGGACAGTGAGTTCTAGAACAGACAGCTGCAGCCCTGAGCAGTCACCCTCGTCTTGAAAGTCTGGCTATCAGCAAGGTGGCCATCCGCGTAGAGGACAGGGACTCCAGGGACAGAGGGCACCCAGTAAAGAGTCTGCAGCTGGGCACTAGGAAGTCTGAACAGAGGCACTAGGAAGGGACCAAGTCTTGTCTGCCCCTGGAGTCCAGCTGGGCTCCCCACAAGGGCTCCAGGCACGTTCGCTGACCAAACCAGATGGCCTTGGCAGCCCCGTAGCACAGTTGGCTGCCTTGGCTCCTGGCACGGGCAAACCGTCTGGTTCCCAAGAGCTATGGTTACAGCCAGGCTTCCAAATTGGGAGTGTCCCGCATCACGGGAGCTGGGAAGAGGCCAGTCTGGCTGCTGCAGTCCAGGGTGCTGAGGGAACCAGGGCGGTAGTCAGAACTGGCTCAGGGCCCGACAGGCCCAAGTTGCAGGCCCAGTGGTCCCACTCAGATGCGGTTTTTATTTTATTATTTTTTTTAATTTGACAGAGATAGAAAGGTCTTCCCTCTGTTAGTTCACCCCTGAAATGGCTGCCACGGCTGGCACCATGCTGATCTGAAGCCAGGAGCCAGGTGCTTTTCCTGGTCTCTCACATGGGTGCGGGCCCAAGCACTTGGGCCATCCTCCACTGCCCTCCTGGGCCACAGCAGAGAGCTGGACTGGAAGAGGGGCAACCAGGACCAGAACCCAGTGCCCACATGGGATGCTGGTGCTGCAGGCACCAAGTGAGCCACGGCACCGGCCCCTCACATGTGTTCTGTAATTACGGTAAAGGAGTAATGAAAGCACCTGCCCAGGACGCTTGTAAGGGCTTAATGAAACCGTCTGTGTGAAGATAAGCCGTAGGCTTGACCTGACCAGTCACAGCGGACGTGGTGGTTAACCACCATTAAGCCTACAGGGATCTGGCCTTACCAGTTCAGTGATAGTATTGTTTCAGAAGCAGAGGAGGGCAGGGGGGCCCACATCAGAAGTAGGAAAACCTCCCAGAACTGGGGAGACCGTGGGGCACCTACCGAGGGGTGCCATCAGGGAACCAAACCTGGACAGCAGTGAAGGCCGAGCTGCTGCTGGCGGACAGACCTTGTCACAGAACAGCACACCCAGCAAGCAGAGTGCAGGGACAGAAACGTGACACTGGTTCAGGACGTGCGTGTGACTGGAATGGAGAGGAGACATCCATCAGCGGTGGCCGGGTGTCACCAGAGCGTGGACAGATGTTCCCTGTGCAGCTGTAGCCGGCACAGGTGGCACTCCCACCCCGGGCAGAAGGTGACTGTTGGCCGTGGTGGTGCTGATGGAAGCAGGTTTCTGGGCCAGCAGAGCAGGGGACAGACCCTGCGGTGCCACCTCCCTCCCAGGCCTGTGACATCTGGCCAGGACATGACAGAGGGACCAAAGGTCAAAGCAGACTACTTCTAACACACTAGACAGGATTCAGACAAAGATAAACGTCTCCCAAATAAACTCAGAGTCCATCTTAAACACATGGAAGGGCTTTCCTTCAGGGCAGCCAAGGTTCTCCACCAAAAACAGAGGGTGAAGGGTGGGTCAATGGGTGCATTTTTCCAATCAAAAGGAAACAATGGAAATAAAGATTAGGATGTGGACTTCAAAGCAGTCAGAATTGCTCCTCCCTCTTAGAAAACTCTGCTATCTGTTGGAAGGGATCAGATCTGTAGTTTCAATCCAACTCTGAGAGCCTGAGGTTCCTTTTATCCTTCCAGCCCCTTGCATGCCGGAGAGTCCCATAGTGTGTGTTGGCTTAATGAATGGCTGATGATGAACGCAAACATTTATTCTGTGCTTATCTTTTGTAAAGATTTATTTATTTATTTGAAAGAGTTACACAGGAGAGGCAGAGAGAGAGAGAGAGAGAGAAAGTCTTCCATCTGCCGTTCACTCCCCAGATGGTCACAAGGGCCAGAGCTGCGCCAATCTGAAGCCAGGAGCCAGGAGCTTCTTCCAGGTCTCCCACATGGGTGCAGGGGCCCAAGGACTTGGGCCATCTCCCACTGCTTTCCTAGGCCATAGCAAAGCACTGGATCGGAAGTGCAGCAGCCAGGACCAGAACCGGCACCCATATGGGATGCCGGTGCTTCAGGCCAGGGTGTTAACCCACTGCGCCACTGCACCAGCCCCATATTCTGTGCTTAAGTGCCAGGTGCTGGACTGTGCACACTGTGAAGATTACCTTGGTTCCTTTTATTTTAAGATTATTTATTTGAAAGGCAGAGTTACAGAGAGGCAGAGAGAGAGGTCTTCCATCTGTTGGTTCACTCCCCAAATGGCTGCAACAGGTGGAGCTGGGCCAATCTGAAGCCAGAAGCTTGGAGCTTCTTCGGGTCTCCCACGTGGGTGCCCATGGCCTTTCTTCCACTGCTTTCCCAGGCACATAAGCAGGGAGCTGGATTGGAAGTGGAGCAGCCGGGCCCATATGGGATGCCAGCACTGCAGGTAGTGGCTTTACCCACTATACCATAGCACCAGCCCTGGTTCCTTTTATTTAAATTTTTTGTTTGAATGACAGAGAACTCACATCCATTGACTCATCCCCAAATGCCCACAAAAGCTGGGGCTGCAGGCCAGCTCTCTGCTGTGGCCTGGGAGTGCAGTGGAGGATGGCCCAAGTGCTTGGGCCCTGCACCCCATGGGAGACCAGGAGAAGCACCTGGCTCCTGCCTTCGGATCGGGCTGGGCCAGGTCAGAGCTGGGAGCTGAGAGCTCCATCCAGGAGCCCATGTGGATGGCAGAGACGTAAGCACTTGAGCCGTCGTCTGCCTCCTAGGATGTGCCTTAGCAGGAAGCTGGAATCGGATGAGCCGGAACGTGCACCAGGCGCTCCAGCAGGGTGCGGGCACAAGTGGTGGTTTAACCTGCGGTACTGCTTGTGCTTTTGGCATCATCTAAAAAATCATTACTGGGCCAGCGCTGTGGTGTAGCAGGTAAAGCCGCCATGTGCGGTCCTGGCATCCCATATGGGCACCGGCTCCAGTCCTGGCTGCTCCACTTCCGATCCAGCTCTATGCTGTGGCCTGGGAAAGCAGTGGAAGGTGACCCAAGTCCTTGAGCCCCTGCACCCACGTGGGAGACCTGGAAGAAGCTCCTGGCTCCAGACTTTGGATTGGCCCAGTTCCGGCCGCTGCGGCCAACTGGGGAGTGAACCATCAGATGGAAGACCTCTCTCTCTCTGCCTCTCCTCTCTCTGTTTAACTGTGACTTTAAATAAAATCTTCAAAATAGTAACACTTTGGTCACCACTAACTGGCCATCCTTGTCTCTATGCAAATTGTGTGCCAGGGGCCGGCATTGGGGCATAGAGGGTAAAGCTGCTGCCTAGTTCACTGACATCCCCTACAAGCGCCAGTTCAAGTCCCGGCTGCCCCACTTCTGGTCCAGCTCCCTGCTGTAGCCTGGGAAAGCGCTGGAGGATGGCCCAAGTGTTTGGGCCCCTGCACCCATGTGGGAGACCTAGAAGAAGCTCCTGGCTCCTGGCTTTGGTGTGGTCCAGCCCAGGCTGTGGCAGCCATGTGGTGAGTGAACACGTGGATGGAAGATCTCTTTCTCTGTAACTCGGACTTTCAAATACAATGAACCCCCCCCCCCTTTTTTTTTTTGTTAAAGACTTATTTATTTGAAAGAGTTACGCAGAGAGATAAAGAGAGAGAGAGAGAGAGAGAGGTCTTCCATCGGCTGGTTCACTCCCCAAATGGCCACGACGACAGGGGCTGGGCCAGGCTGAAGCCAGGAGCCAGGAGTTTTGGGTCTCTTATGTGGGTGCAGGGGCTCAGGAATTTGGGCCACCTTCCGCTGCTTTCCCGGGCAAATTAGCAGGGAGCTGGATCGGAAGTGGAGCAGCCACACTCAAACCAGCGCTTTCCAAATGCGATGCAGGCACTGCAGAGGGCAGCTAACCCGTCGCACCAAAGCGCAAGCCCCGAAATAAACCTTTTTAGAAAGTGTGTCAGGGCCAGGGCTGTGGCATAGTAGGCTAAGCATCTGCCTGTGGCGCCAGCATCCCGTAGGGACACCAGTTCAAGTCTCTGTTCCTCCTCTTCCTATCCAGCTCTCTGCTGTGGCCTGGGAAAGCAGTAGAAGATGGCCCAAGTCCTCGGGCCCCTGCACCCGCGTGGGAGACGTGGAAATAGTCCTGGCTCCTGGCTTTGCATTGGCCCGGCTCCAGCCATTGCAGCTGTTTGGGGAGTGAACCAGCAGGTGGAAGACTTTTCTGTAACTTAACTCTCCCTCTCAAATGAACAAATTCTTTTACAAAAGTTAAGTACTTTATCCTATCTATTTGAAAGGTAGAGCAGACACTCGCATCTGCTGGATCACTCCCCAAATGCCTGCAAGCAGGGAGCCAGGAGCTCAATCCAGATCTCGCCTGTGGGTGGCAGGGACCCACCCACTTGAGCCATCCCCGCTGCCTCCCAGGGTCCGCATTACCAGGCAGCTGGGATCAGGAGGCCGACCCAAACCCAGGCACTCCGGTTTGCGACACAAGCGTCCTAACCTATGCCATACGCCCGCGCTAGGCCACGGGGAGTTAGGATCAGCATCTCAGGGCTGCTGCAGAGACCCTCCGTCTCGCCGAGTGCCACTCGGGGCTGTGCCCACCTCCCTCTGCGCCCGCCCAGCTGAGACAGCTGTCAGCTCGAGTGTCGCGGGCCGGGCAGGGCCCGCTGGCCAGGGCCCGGCTGCGCGGGCGGGGCGGGGCCATCCGGCCGTGGGCGGGGCGTGGGCGCGTCCGAGCCGAGGGACACGGCCGGAATGCGCGCACCGCCGCGCGAGGCCCCGCCCAGAGCATCCCGCGCCGCCGGCGGCCGCGCCGCAGACGGGCGTCATGGCTGCTTCGAGACAGCCCCAGGTCGGGGAGCTGCTGGCCGAGGCCCGGCGGGCCTTCCGGGAGGAGTTCGGGGAGGAGCCGGAGCTGGCCGTGTCGGCGCCGGGCCGCGTCAATCTCATCGGGGAGCACACGGACTACAACCAGGGCCTGGTGCTGCCCATGGTGAGGGGCTGCGCGGGGCCCAGGGCGGGGGCCGGGGGGCGCGCCCTGTCCGCGCGGGTCGTGTGGCCGGGCAGCCGAGTGTGGGGAGACCCCGGTAGGGGCACGCCCGCGCGTTAGGAGGAAGTGGCCGGGAGAGGGTGTGCCGACCGCCGCTTGGCTCCAGCCCGCCCTCGCGCTCTACCTGGGAGCGTGTTCCCGCTTCACGAGGGGGCTGTGCGGGCGCGGAGGCTCCCCGTCGCTCCCCGGTTCGCCTCTGCGCCAGGCTCGGGTGTGAGCGTAGCCCAGCCCGGTGATTTACGGACGAAGTATCGGGCCCAGAGGGGGCCAGGGGCCTGCGCAAGGTCGCACAGCTGGCTCTGGACGTGTAACCTTGAGTGCGGCCTCCACGCTGGCAAATCTGGGGGCTCTAGCGGCCTCGCCGTGCGGCTTGGGGAGTGAGTGCGTCCGGCCCGCCAAGCGCACCCCACGTGGGCGCTCCTCGATCCCGGTTTCCCCCAGACCCGGCGGTCCCCCGCCCCTTGCCCCTAGCTGGGAGCTAAGGGCAGAGTCCAGACCTGCTCGCTGGCTGCAGCGGGCCCCGCCCCTGAAGACCCAGGGGACAGAGCTCCAGCCCCCAAGGCCAGCTCAGCACTCCGGCCCGCCCTTGAGTTGAGCCAGTTCCCTGTCTGGGCGGCAGGACCTGGGCCGCCGTCTGCCTCGCCTTAGGGGCTGCTTCTGTGTGCAGGCGCTGGAGCTGGTCACGGTGCTGGTGGGCAGTCCCCGGGAGGACGGGCTGGTCTCCCTCCTGACCACCTCTGAGGACGCCGACGAGCCCCAGCGACTACAGTTCCCCCTGCCCACAGCCCAGCGCTCCCTGGAGCCTGGGACTCCCCGCTGGGCCAACTATGTCAAGGGGGTGATTCAGCACTACCCAGGTATGGGGACCAGGCCTGGGCCAAGTTCACGCTGCAAACCCGTTAATGCACCCCGTGCCCTGTGGGGAAGCGAGGCTGCGCCCATTGCGCAGATGAGGAAAGCTTGCCCTGGGTTGCCCGCCCGTGATGGGAGGAGCCGGGTTCAAATCCCAGCCCTAAACCAGGAGGACAACTAGGGGACTGTCTCAGCAACCTCGGGGGGCGGGAAGAGGCAGGGTGCTTGGGCCGCGAGGCTGGGGCCTTGTGACCGGTGCAGCGGGCGGGCAGTGGGCGTCCGGCTTCCTGTGCGCATGCTCGGCTTCCTGTGCGCATGCTCGGCTCCCTGTGCGCATGCTCGGCTTCCTGCACGCATGCTCGGCTTCCTGTGCGCATGCTCGCAGGTAGCCATCTTCCTCACCGTTCTCTCCGCCGCAGCCGCGCCCCTCCCAGGCTTCAGTGCGGTGGTGGTCAGCTCCGTGCCCCTGGGCGGTGGGCTGTCCAGCTCGGCATCCCTGGAAGTGGCCACGTACACCTTCCTCCAGCAGCTCTGCCCAGGTACCCCGAAGCCGGCCCCCCTCCCTCGAGGCCTCCTTGCGGTCTGAGCGTCTTTATGGTGGGTGGCGGCGGAGGGGCGTGGGTGAATATCCCCGGAGGAGCTATCCCTGGAGCTACCCGCCCACCTCTCGTGCCCCCTCCCGGGCCCCCTCTTCCCCGCCTCGCCCTGTGCCGCAGACTCGGAGGCAGTGGCTGCCCGGGCCCAGGTGTGTCAGCGGGCGGAGCACAGCTTCGCGGGGGTGCCCTGCGGGGTCATGGACCAGCTCATCGCACTGCTGGGGCAGAAGGGCCATGCGCTGCTCATTGACTGCAGGTCAGGGCCGCCTCCTGCCCCCCAAACCGATGCTCTGGAGCTTCCGGGTAGGGGGGCCCACTGCCCGGCGTGACAGCAGACACCTGGCCTCGCCATCTCCCCCCGCCCCACTCCACTCTGCCGTAGGTCCCTGGAGACAAGCCTGGTGCCGCTGTCCGACCCCAAGCTGGCTGTGCTCATCACCAATTCCAACGTCCGCCACGCCCTGGGCTCTAGCGAGTACCCTCTGCGGCGGCGCCAGTGTGAAGAGGTGGCCCGGGCGCTCGGCAAGGAGAGCCTTCGGGAGGTGCAGCTGGAGGAGCTGGAGGGTGAGAGCCGGCGGGGCTCGCTCTGCCCACTCCCCGACCCTGTCCACTCCCCGACTCTGCCCACTCCCCGACCCTGCCCACTCACGGCCGGGCTCGCCCTGCCCACTCCCCGACCCTGCCCACTCACGGCCGGGCTCACTGTGCCCACTCCCCGACCCTGCCCACTCACGGCCGGGCACGCCCTGCCCACTCCCCGACCCTGCCCACTCACGGCCGGGCACGCTCTGCCCACTCCCCGACCCTGCCCACTCCCCGACCCTGCCCACTCATGGCCGGGCACGCTCTGCCCACTCCCTGACCCTGCCCACTCACGGCCGGGCTCACTGTGCCCACTCCCCGACCCTGCCCACTCACGGCTGGGCACGCTCTGCCCACTCCCCGACCCTGCCCACTCCCCGACCCTGCCCACTCACGGCTGGGCACGCTCTGCCCACTCCCCGACCCTGCCCACTCACGGCCGGGCACGCCCTGCCCACTCCCCGACCCTGCCCACTCACGGCCGGGCTCGCCCTGCCCACTCCCCGACCCTGCCCACTCACGGCCGGGCACGCCCTGCCCACTCCCCGACCCTGCCCACTCACGGCCGGGCACGCTCTGCCCACTCCCCGACCCTGCCCACTCACGGCCGGGCTCACTGTGCCCACTCCCTGACCCTGCCAACTCCCCGACCCTGCCCACTCACGGCTGGGCACACTCTGCCCACTCCCCGACCCTGCCCACTCACGGCTGTTTGAAGCCTCTTTAGTTTTTTAAATGCACATTTTAAGTTATGTACGTATGCATGTATTTACCTGAGAGACAGAGAGTTCTTTCATCCCTTGGTTCACTCCTCAAATGCATGCTACAGCCAGGGCAGGGCCAGGCTGAAGCCGGGAGCCGGGAGCTCCATCCAGGGCGCCCACCTGGGAGGCAGGGGCCCAAGCATGGAACCATCTCCTGCCGCCTCCCAGGTGCACATTAGCAAGGCGCTGGAATTAGAAGCGAAGCAGGGGCTGTGCGCCGGGCACTCTAACGTGGGGTGTGGTCGTCCCAAGTAGTGCCTTAGCTGTTGTGCCAAGTGCCTCCCCTTGCTTCGAGCCTTAAAATTGCTCTTTTTGGCGTGGTTAAATTGCCTCGGGCCACCTCCGTCCCATTTCAGAGTGCCCGGTTGGAGCCCCATGCGCTCCACTTCCGATCCAGCTTCCTGCTAAGGCGCTGGGAAGCAGCAGGCTTGGGCCCCTGCCGCTAAGGGGAGACTGGGATTGAGTTCTGGGCTCCTGGCTTTGGCCCCGAGCTAACGGAGCTCAACAAGGCCTCCAGCAGCTGTTGACTAGCCCTCCGGGGCTGCTGTCCATCCTGGCCCCCTCCCACACACCCGGGGCCCGCAGGCGGCCGGGAGCTGGCTCCGCTGACCCCTTCCCCTCCGCAGCCGGCAGAGAGCTGGTGAGCAAGGAGGGCTTCCGGCGAGCGCGGCACGTTGTGGGCGAGATCCGGCGCACGGCGCAGGCAGCGGCTGCCCTGAGCCGCGGGGACTACAGAGCCTTCGGCCGCCTCATGGTGGAGAGTCACCACTCGCTCAGGTGAGACCCTCGGGATGCCCGCGCCTCCTGGGCCCCAGCGTCCCCGGACCTACCCCTCCCATGCCCTCTCTGCAGGGATGACTACGAGGTGAGCTGCCCGGAGCTGGACCAGCTGGTGGAGGCCGCGCTCTCCGTGCCTGGGGTTTATGGCAGTCGCATGACCGGCGGCGGCTTCGGCGGCTGCACGGTGACACTGCTGGAGGCCTCCGCTGCATCCCGCGCCATGCAGCAAATACAGGTGGGCTGGGGCCAGAGCCTGGGAGGGCAGCAGTGGATTGCCGGGCCCCTCCGCGCTCACACCGTGCCCGCCTCTCCCCTAGGAGCAGTACAGCGGCACTGCAACCTTCTACCTCTCCCAAGCAGCAGACGGGGCCAAGGTGCTGCACCTGTGAGGCACCCAGCACTGCCCCCGGTGGGCACAGGCGGCAGGTGGCGGGTCACGTGGCTCTGCCTCTGGCACCTGCTCTCCACATCAGGGTGCTCAATAAAACTGTGCCTCCCCCCACCACAGTGCCCACCTGCCCCCAGAGGTGGGTGTCAGCATTGCCTCGCCCTCCGACTCCGGCTGGCACCTCTGGGCCCTGGACAAATGGACAGGGCAGAGCCGTGCAGTAGCAAAGTCTTTTATTAAGTGCAAAAGAGAGGCTGGACCTTGCTGCGCTGGTCCCTGCTCTTTGGTTATGAAAGGGTTTACGTCCAGAGGCTGGGGGGGGGGGCAGTGAGAGGGCCTTCTGCCCCCTTCATGCCTCCCACTCCCTGCTGTGTGGCCAGAGGCGCTGGCACAGTAGCAGAGCGGGCGTCGCGGAGGGGGCGCGGGCTCCAGGCCGCTGCAGGTCGGGATCAGGTTTGGAGGAACTGCTGGTCCACCTGGGTGCTGAGGCTCCCGCTCGTGGTCAGTGTCCGGCTCACAAACTCCTGGGTCACGTGCCGGGTGAGGGAGCTGCTTGCTTCCAGATGCTGGGACCGCAGGGCCAGGCCATCTGCAGGGAGGAGGGAATGGCGGGTCCCTGCCCCTCCCCCGACTGCTCGCAGGAGAGCCCGGTCCCCTGCCCCCGGTGACTTACCCATCAGGAAAGGCTCGCTGGTGCTGGTGTGGGTGGTGGTGACATAACTGTATTCGCCTTGCTGCGGGTGTTGGAAGAGCCCGGCGTGGCTGCCCAGCTGTGGGAAGGGGCCTGGAGTGGGCAGATCAGCCGGTCGGCAGGTCAGGGGACAGCCTCGGAGGAGGCCTGGCGAGCCAGGTGGTGGGGGCGAGGTGGGGCGGCCCCCTACCTCCATCTTGGGACTCGATGGTGATGATGCCCTCACGCTCCGGCCCGAAGCCCTCGGTGGTCTTGGCCTGCACCTTGAACTTGTAAGGCACGTTCTCGCTGAGACCCGGCACCGTCAGCCGGCTCTCGGGGTTGTCCCCATCCACCTGGAACGTGGTGGCTGGCCCTGCGCAGGGAACACGCCTTCAGCCTCCACGCCCCTTCTCCACCCCTCCCCGGCCTCGCCTGCCTGTGGGGCGGGCAGCACCTCCTCCGTGGGCCATCTCACAGGTCACCAGGTAGCCGAGGATATTTCCGTTGGGCCTCCGTGGCCGCTCCCAGCTCAGCTGCAGGGAGTCTGGGCTCAGGGCCGTGAACACCAGCGGGCCTGGGGCACTGGGCGTGCTCAGAGTGAATGCAGAACCTGGGGCAGCAGAGGGAGGATGTCGGGGTTGGGGGGCGTGGGCACAGTGGGGGCCGCTGTGGACGGAGGGGTGGGAGAGGCAGCTCACCTGGCAGGGGGCAGAGTGGGCTCTGCGGGTGCACCTGCGACTCGATGGTGATCACCCCCTCGCGCTCTCGGCCCCAGCCCTCCTGGCTCTGGGCCCGCACGCGGAACACGTAGGAGTGGTTGGGCAGGAGGTCCTCCACCACCACGGAGGTCTGGCCAGGGTTGGTGATGTGGAGCTGACGCAGCTCGCCTGTGGGCAGGGAGAAGGCGGGCCAGAGCGGCGTCACCCCCACCCCGCACTCCTGGGGCCTGCTGCTCCTGGTCCCCAGGCTGCCTTCGAGGTCTGGTCACCCACCCAGGTTTGGCTGGGGGATGGGATGGGATGGGATGGTTGGTGGCTCCTTAGCCAGGGGCCTGGGCCATGCTGTTTGGAATATCTACCCAAAGAAATACCAATCCCAGCCCCCGCAGGCATCCCTTGCAGCATAAACCCCGGGTCTCTAGTAGGACGGTGAGGCCGAATGTAGCAGAGGGGATGACAAGGAGAGAGGCCGGGGAGAGGGAAGGAGGCTCGGAAGACGTGAAGTGGGGTGGAAGGGGCCCCAGCACATCGTGGGGGGGGGCTTGGGTGGACTCCCGACGGGGCAGCCAGGCCTCACCGCCAGTCAGCAGCTGGTACTCCACGCTGTAGCCCAGCAGTGCGTGCTCGCACTGTGGCTCCTGCCAGCTCACTTTCAGGGATGTGGGCCCCAGGGCGGAGAACACCAGGCGGGTGGGTGTGTCAGGCACACTGGCAGTCAGGCGGGACTCTGGGGACAGGAGGCTACAGTCGGCGCCGGCCCAAGTCAGTCGTGCCCCCTCCCTCGGCTGGCGCTGGCCGGGCAGCTCGCTCATCCTGCAGCACCTACGCGTCCTGGGTGGGTGCAGGCCCTGCCCCCACCCCATTCCCTGCTCAGCACCCAGGAGAGGAGCCTGTGTGCGTTAGGCATCAGCGGATGCAGGCGGGCGGGTGGTTAGCTCCTGTGGGCAGGCAGGGCTCTGGATGGAATGGAGAGTGTGGCGGTGGTTGTGATGGGTGGCCGGCTGATAGGTGGAGCAGAACAGCCGTGGAGAGCCAAGGTGGCCGCCCCTGCACTACCTGGGCCCCAGGAGGGCGCTGCCGGCTGCGCGGCCAGGATTATAGAGTCCCGGGAGCCCCTGGAGGGGAGGCGCCCCTTCAGCTGAGCTCGGCTCCAGGACCCCAGGGCCCAGGACAGCGGGAGCCTGCTCCTCCCGTGCTCCCAGATGGGAGGGAGGCCTAGGGCAGGACGAAACAAGAGTGAGAGGGACTGGGGCAGTGGCCAGGGGACTCCAGGAGCAGGAAGAGAGGGAGGGAGGGCTGGTGGCGGCGCTCACCGTGGGAAGAGAGGGAGCCGAGGGTGGAGTAGTCGCGGGGTAGTGTGGCCGAGTGGGAGTGCTCGGTGCGGGTGAGCGAGTGGTAATCGCGGGTGAGGGTGGAGGTCGCGCTGTGCACACTCCGGGGCAGGTGGGGGCTCAGGTGGGTCCCGTAGCTGCTGCTGGCGGTGGTCACCCTGTGCAGGGAGCTGGCGCTGCCTGGGAAGGCAAAGTCCATCCGGCCGTTCACCAGGTGCTCTGCGGGGCGAGAGTTGTGGCCGGGTCAGGCCCGCACCAGCCGCGGAGCCCCCACCCTATTTCGTGGGGGGAGAGGGACTCGGTGTGAACGCGCCAGCCTCCCCCTAACACCAGGGACAAGGGCTCTGTGTTTGGAGGCGTCAAGGAGCTGTGCAGAGTCCCCCTGGCCCGTGTCCACCACCGCTGTGGGCGGCGTTAGCGCAGCCAGCTCCACCCTGGACAGGCTTTCTGCTGGGGGGGGGGGCGGACTCTGAAGTCCAACCACCCTAGCTGGGCATGCGCCGTGTTGGGCTCACTGTCCCCAGGGGCTCCTGCCTTGGCGGGACCCCAGACGCCCGCAGGGGCCTGCCTAGGTGCGGTTGCAGGCCGCAGCTGGGGTTCTGAGGTGGGCGCTAGGGACTCAGTGTGTGCGGGGTGGGGCGCGGCCGGACAGCCCCGTCACCTCCGGCGGGCCGGGGGCCGCCCTCCCCGTCCGCGCCCCCCTCGGCGGCGTCGGAGGAGCGCCCGCTGCTGGCCGACAGGCGCGGGATGAGCTCCGGGGGCAGCCGCCACGTGACGCGCCGCAGGTCCAGCTGCTCCCCGAGCGCGGGCTCCACGTTCCAGCCGCCGCCGCCGCCTTGGGAACAACGAAGGGCCGCGTTGGCACGGCCGGGGGCGCTGGGCGGCGGCGCCGAGGAGGGCCAGGTGGGAGGCGGGCGGAGCGCGTGCGCGCACCGCAGAGGGAACCCTCGGCCCGCTCGAGACCCTCGGGGTGGGAGAGCGCAGCCTGGCTCTGGACCTGCCTGGAGGGTTGGAGGGAGGCGCCTGGCCCGTGTCACCGGCTGGGCGGTCTCCCACGGACACAAAATTGGGGCACAGCTGTGCCCCTCCGCGGGAAGTGGGGGCGGGGCGGGTTCCCATTTCACAAGCCAGAAAACGCACAGAGCGAGCCAGCCGGAGCTGGGGCTGAGCCCGCAGCACACCCACCCGTGGACCTCCAAGATGCACGCAGCCTGTGAGCGTCTGTCCCCCCGCACACAGACCTGCACGCGCACTGTGTCAGCGTGGTCCCTTCGGCCCACCTGGCACCGTGACACGGGCTCCACGGATGCCTGGCTGAGGCTGTCGAGGGCCTGCAGCCTTGGTCTGTGTGCCCAGCAGCCACCAGGCCCGTTGCCATCCGGGCACCAGGGACAGCCCCCCGCCGCTGCCTCGCCTCTCGCCGCAGCCCCTCACCAGTGTCGTCGGAGACGCTGGGCCTCTGGCTCCCGGCGGGCGAGCGCAGCACGTCGTCACTGTACATGAGGAAGCTCTCGTAGTCCTCCCCGCCCTGGGCGTCCACGATGGGGATGTCCGGGATGATGGGGACTGCGGGGTGGCAGGAGGTGAGCCAGGGCCCCTCCCCAGCTCGGCCCCTCCCCGTGCGCACCCTGCATGCCCCTGCCCACCGCTCACTGGACATGGGCCGTGTGGGCTGGGTGGCCAGGTTGATGATGGCCTCGCGCTCAGGCCCCCAGCCGGCGCCGTTGCGCGCCTTCACGGTGTACCGGTAGGGCTGGGACTCGCGCAGGTTCTCGATGAGCAGCATGCGTCTCTTGGGGCTGTCCACCAGCACTTTCTTCATGGGCCCGATGGGTCCTAGGGCAGGGAGGGCGCTTCAGAGGGGCCACCAGGCTGCAGCCCGGTCCCAGCCCCGCCTCTGACATCTGTCACCGGGCGACCCGCAGTCGCTGGCTGAATCGGGCCCTGCAGCACCTCGACAGACAGGTGGGCGGTCCCAGCTCCGAGGTGCCCCGCCTTAGCCCAGGTGAGGGTGCTCACGGGATGTCACCCTCTGCCCACTGCTGACACCAGGCCCTGAAACGCGTGCTGGGGAAGCAGAGGTCTGTGGCCTCAGGGAGGCAAAGTCTGGGGGCCGGCGAGGTTTGTGACAGCTGGCGGTGAGGTTCACGGCCAGCGCCCGTGTTAGCTGGGAGGGGGAGGCCAGCGCTGTCCTGATTCGACGTCTGGCAGTGCGGGTGCAGCCGTGGGGGCGCGGAGGGCCAGGACCCCGGATGCATGAGCAGGAGACTCAGAAAAACAAAGGCGACACAAGAGAGGCCTCCCGCCGCACACGTTTCCAGGGAGGCCCAGAGCAGGGGCTGGAGCAGCACCTGAGCCCGTCCACGCCCAGCTGGCTGTACTGGAGAAGCATTGGCACCGGCGCCCGGTGGCCCCAGGGGGCGTCTCCCGCTGTCACGCCGGGTGCTCTGGCCCACCCCCTCGCACCTCTGTCAGCTGCAAGCACAGACGCCCCTGGGCAGGGCGGGCTGCCCAGCTCATTCCCAGAGCCAGGGGCTGAAGCCACCAGGAATGACTGTGCATCGGGACTCGGGTCACTCTTGGGTTAAAGGCCCAGGCAGAGGAGACCACCAGGTGGAGGGCCACAGATGGACTGAACTGAGCTCAGCCAGCCAAGGGCATGGCTGCAGGGAAGGCTTGGCTGGCCCCAGCCCTGCTAGTCACGGGGACAGCGTGAGCCCCACACAGATTCCTGTCTCCAGGAGGCGTGGGGGTAGTAAACTCCTCATCTCTGGGAGCAAGCAAGCAAAATGGAAGGTGTGGGACGTCCCTGTGCCACCTGGGGCTGGTTTCTCTTAAGTGCTCTCATCTTTGGCCTCCCTCACAGGACTGGAAAGGGGCCCTCACACCCCAGCAGGTGCTCTGGCCCGGGGCTGCCCGGTGGAACACGGTGTGAAACAATAGGAAAGTGGAGGCTCTACCCCAACCCGGGACCGGGTGAGAAGGAGCCACCCGCCCGTGTTACCTGGATGGGGAGCACCCCTGGGCCGGCGACCTCATGAACACAAAGAGCCTCACCCACCGCTAGGAGCCCGGCCCCAGGTGGAGACTGAGCGGCGCCTCAGTGCTGTCTGCCAACCTGGACTGGTGTGGCCTGCACGGCCAGCCCAGGCAGGACCCAGGACCCTGGCCCTCCCTGCAGGCCCCTGCCTGGCCCTTCCCCGGCTGCTGTCCTTACGGTTGTCCTCGTTGACCAGGCCGTAGCAGACCTCGTAGGCCGTGATCTCGCCGTTGGTCTCTGCGGGCTCAGCCCAGCTCAGCTGGGTCACCGTGGAGGAGATGACGTTGAACGCCAGGCGCCCCGGCTCACTGGGCACTGCAGGGAGTGGCCGTGGAGCATAGTCAGGGGCAGGGGGTGGGGACAGGCAGGACATGGCGGCACCCTGGGGGGCTGGGGACACGCCTCACCTTCCTGTTGGGTGCGGCAGGACACCAGGGAGCTGTAGGGGCCCTCGCCCTGCGCCCCGTAGGCGCACACCTTCATGTCGTAGTCGCAGTACGGGTAGAGGTTGGTGAGCTCCACCGAAGGCGCCTCGCTGTCCAGCAGGTGAGCTTCAGACTCGGGGTCACCCTGGATCCAGTACTTGACCTGCTCGGGGGGGGGCACCAGTCACGGGGCAGCGGCCAGCGCCACAGCCGCTCTCCCCGCTCCGGGGGACGCACAGCATCACGGCCACACTGCCCAGACCAGGCCCTGAGGCCCTCAGGGTTGGGTGGCTGCGCCGTTCACCCAGCAGGCAGGAAGAGGGGCGACCTTCTGTGAGACTGAGGCGGGGGCTTCCCTCTGCCCACCTGTGCTTGGACCCCTCTCCCTGAAGGTGCCCCTCTCCAGGGTGGTGGCTGCCAGGCCTCCCCAGGCACCTGTCCGTATCCGTGGCCCCCACCTTACCCGGTAGCCCAATGGTTTGCCAGGAGGGGGCAGCCAGTTGAAATGGATCTTCCGAGACCCGGTGGCCTTGGCATTGGGGTTCTGTGGGGCGCCCAGGTCCCCGCGAGGCGGCGGGGATGACAGGGTCTGACTCACGAAGTCCCGGTCCAGTTCATCTAGTAGTGCGTCAGGGTGGGGGCAGGCTGAGACACCATTCACCACCAGGGGGCGCCAGAGACTCAAACACCCAAAGGCCCCATCCAGAGAGACCGACAGACACCTGCGACCTGCAGAGGGCGCCAGTCTTCCTCCTTTCGCAGACAAAAAACTTCCGCACCAGAACACCTGCTCCCGGGCCATCTCCACCCCTCCCCTGAGCTCGCTCTCCTCTTAGGGGTGGACTCACCCCTTCCAGGAACGCCTCCGTGAGGCTGATACAAGGTCGAGGGTCTAATGGCTGACTCCCGCCCCCCAGCTGGCCACAAAGTTGCCAGATAAAATGCAGGAGGCCACTGGACATTCCGGTTGCAAATACAGACCGGGCACTTCTAGGAGACTCTACACCAGGTGTTGCATGGGACACACGTGTGTACTCCACGTGTGCATTACTGTGGGGAATTCAAGATCCACTGGGCCTCCTGTGTTGGGATTCGCCAAGCCCGGCAGCCCTAGCCGGCCCTCCCTCTCCACCTGCCTAAGCCCACCCCAGGCTCTGCCCACCTGGGTCCCCGATGATGACCGTGGCCGACTGGGGCTGGCCCAGGCGGGCCCCGAACTTGGGGTTGCTGAGTTGGATGTTGAAGCGTCGGGTCTGGCGGCCCCGCAGGAGGGAGTCCACCTCCTGCAGCTCCAGGAGTTTCACCTGCAGCTCCTTCCAGGTCTCCCCGGGGTGGAACAGCAACTCCCCCTCCACGGGGACATAGTCCTGGAGCAGGAAGGGTCAGGGTCAGAGGGGGGAGGCAGGGGGGGCAGCTCAGTGTGGGAGCCTTTCAAGGGGGGGACACACGGCGTCCCGGCCACCTGCTCCGTGCCGACCTCAGGGACACTGCAGACACCGTCCCGTCCCACGTGGACAGGGGTGACGCCCGTCGCACCTCCTGCGTGTCAAGCACTCACGCTATTCCGTCTCCGGAAGAGCAGGAGGCACAGGTCCCGTCACCCCATCATAGCGATGCGGAAACGGGTCCCGCGCAGCTTCGGAAATTTGCCCAAATTCGCACAGGTGGCTGTGTGAGCCAGAATTTGAGCCAAAACACAGAGCAGGCCACGGGATGTGCAGAGGCCAAACCTGGCAGGCAGGCGGCCCTGGGGAGCTGGGCTCTGCAGGCCGCATCCTGCAAGGAGGGAGTCATCATGGCTCAGAAGTGTGGAGTCCCGCCCAGCCCTAGGCCCTCCCGGTGGGTGGGGGCGCTTCCATCGGCTCCAGCTTTCTTCTTTCATTTTTAATAAAAATTCTTTTATATAGGCCGGTGCCGCAGCTCACTAGGCTAATCCTCCGCCCTGCGGGGCCAGCACACCAGGTTCTAGTCCCGGTTGGGGCTCCGGATTCTATCCCGGTTCCCCCTCTTCCAGGCCAGCTCTCAGCTGTGGCCCGGGAGTGCAGTGGAGGATGGCCCAAGTGCTTGGGCCCTGCACCCCATGGGAGACCAGGATAAGTACCTGGCTCCTGCCTTCAGATCAGCGTGGTGCGCCGGCCGCAGTGCGGCAGCCATTGGAGGGTGAACCAACGGCAAAGGAAGACCTTTCTCTCTGTCTCTCTCTCTCACTGTCCACTCTGCCTGTCAATAAAAAAAATTTTTATATATATTTGAGAGATGGAAAGTGAGGGAGGCGTCTTGCAGCCACTAGTTCACTCCACAGATGCCCACGACAGCCAGGCAAGAGCTGGGAGCCGAGGTCCATTTGGGTCTCCCATGTGGATGGCAGTGGCGGGAAGATGGGTGGAAAGTGGAGCCAGAACTCGAACCTAAGGACTACGACATGGGATACAGGCAACCCGAGTGGCATCTTGACCGCTGAACCAAACACCTGCCCCCATCTCCTTGTCTTGGAGCTTGCCTTGAGCTCCGTGGGTGTGTAGGCGTGGTGTGGGAGGAAAAGGTGCTCTCACAAAAGGCCACTAGGGGGCGCTGGCGCTGTGGCGTAGCAGGTGAACCCACCTGCAGGGCCTGCATCCTCTACAGGCTCCAGTTCAAGTCCTGGCTGCTCCATTTCCCATCCAGCTCTCTGCTGTGGCCCAGGAAAGCAGCAGAGGATGGCCCAAGTGCTTGGGCCCCTGCACCCACGTGGGAGACCTGGATGAAGCTCCTGGCTTTGGCCTGGCCCAGCCCTAGCCGTTGTGGCCATCTGGGGAGTGAATCAGCCAATGGAAGATCGATGATCTCTCCGTCTCTCTCCCTCTGTGTAGTTCTTTCAAGTAAATAAATAAATCATTTTAAAAGGCCACTAGGTGGCGCTGCAGCCTAAGATTTCAATTCCAGGCACAGCCAGGCATGGGCACAAATGGCCCCCGGTGCAAAGAAACCACAGACAGGTCTGTAAGCAGCTCACGTGGACAGTTCCAAAACACCAGTGTCCCCGCAGAGGGGCTGCGAACTGTTCTAGGCTGAAGAAGACTTTAGACAAAACGCAGTCCCAGGTGTCGACTGGTTCCTGGACTGGGGAAAAAGCTACAAAGGCCGTTGCTATGCGACAGTAGTTGGCATGGCGGCTCTTAGACTCGTCAGCCAAGTTCTGGACCTGGTTCTGCAGAAGGGCTCCAGGCCCAGGCGATGTCGGCCCTGACTTGGAATAGTTCAGCAAACAAGAAGTGCGTGCATGTGTGTTAGTGCATGCGCGCACAGCTGTTTGTCGGCACAGATGGCTGCGTCTACACACGGGCATGGCATGGAGTTTGCGGGAATGGAAAGAAAAGGTTTAGAGGTTGGGCACTCGGCGCCGTGGCCGTGACTCGATGCCCACATCGCAGCGCCGGGTTTGAGTCCCAGTTCCGTATCCGATTCCAGCTTCCTGCTCACGCACACCCCGGGAGGGTCCCTGTGCCTGTACCAGGTGGGAGCCTGGGTTGAGTTTTGGGCTCCTGACCCAGCTCAGGCTGTCGTGGGCATTTGGAGAGTGAAGCAGCAGATGGAAGATCTCTCTCTGTCTCTCTGGACTTTCAGATAAAAATGAAAATAGTTGTTTTTTAAAGATAGTTTGTCTTTGTGTAGGAAAATTTGAAAGCCATACCTATGCATATAGATATCCATATATAGAGAGGTGGGGGAGGGAGAGACAGGTGAATCCATGGAAGGGTACAACGGGTACTAATTTCATCAGTCTTCCCAGTTTTCTGTAGTTTGCAAGTTTGTTTTGAAAGATGAGACAATAAAAATGTTTTAAAAAAATTGGTCAAGTGGCTGGCACTGTGGCATATTGGGTAAAACTACAATCCCTTATGGCCACCAGTGCTGGCATCCGATATGGGCACCAGTTCGAGTCCCAGTTGCTCCACTTCTGATCCAGCTCCCTGCTGTGGCCTGGGAAAGCAGTAGAAGATGGCCCAAGTGCTTGGGCCCCTGCACCCACGTGGGAGACCTGGAAGAAGTTCCTGGCTCCTGGCTTCAGATTGGCACAGCTCTGGCCATTGCGGCCATCTGGGGAGTGAATCAGCGGATGGAAGACCTCTCCCCCTCCCCCCTCTCTCTCTGCCTCTCCTCTCTCTGTGTAACTCTGACTTTCAAATAAATAAATAAATCTTTTTTTTTTTTTAAAAAGTACTTATGAAATACATTAAGTTTGTCTTCCTTAAATAAAAGGTTTCTTGGTGGGGGGGTATTCTGAGTTTATAATTTGGTGATGCATTCAGAATTAAAACCTAAAACCCTGCAAATAAAACCAAGCGTGTGCACCACGGGGCTCTGGCTGCCCCCGATACTGGACTCAGGGGAAACCAGCAGGCCAGGCGACAGCCCCTGGGGACCCAGTCCAGGGACACAGAGTGGCTCTCCCAGCCCAAGAAGCCGGAGCCTCCAGGACTGGGGCGTCTGGGGATTGCATTTCTCCATGAAAGGGCGGGCTCCCCTGGGGGTCCTGGGTTGTCAGAGAGAGGGAAGGAACAGTTGGGGCAGGAGCAGGGAGCAGCCCCCTTGGTCTGAGTCCCTGGCAGCAATGGGGCCTCCCCCAGGGTGTCACTTGCACTTTGCACAAGGCAGACACCCCTGCCATGGGGGCAGAAGCAGGTGGCACGTCCTTGCGAGGCCAGCCAGGGCACCACCTACAGCGGGCAACAGGCAGCTGCTGTGTCCCGTGAAACCCCGTGGGGCACCCCTGACCCCATGGCATCACCCCTGACCCTGTGGGGTGCCCCTGACCCCGTGGCATCACCCCTGACCCCATGGGCACCCCTGACCCCATGGCATCACCCCTGACCCACCCCTGACCCCATGGCATCACCCCTGACCCCGTGGCATCACCCCTGACCCCGTGGTGTCACCCCTGACCCTGTGGGGCACCCCTGACCCCGTGGCATCACCCCGACCCTGTAGGGCGCCCCTGACCCCGTAGCATCACCCCTGACCCTGTGGGGTGCCCCTGACCCCGTGGCATCACCCCTGACCCTGTAGGGCGCCCCTGACCCCGTAGCATCACCCCTGACCCTGTGGGGTGCCCCTGACCCCGTGGCATCACCCCTGACCCTGTGGGGTGCCCCTGACCCCGTAGCATCACTCCTGACCCTGTGGGGTGCCCCTGACCCCATGGCATCACCCCTGACCCCATGGCATCACCCCTGACCCCGTGGCATCACCCCTGACCCCGTAGTAGTGCCTTACCCGGTTGCCTTTCGCCGTGCCGTCCTGCGTGCGGTACGAGACCTGGGACTTGCTGCTGTCCACGGTGCGCCGGATGACAGGGACACGGGCCACCTGCTCCCCCCGGCTGACCAGGTACTCGGACTGCTCGAAGGCCACCACCCCGCTGGCTGCAAGGAGCCCCAGGCGGCCAGCATTCGGGAGCCAGCTCCTACCCCTCCTCCCACGGCCCTGGGGGGGGGGGCTAAGGATGGGGATGGAAAATCCTTCCAGAAAAAAGCCGGAAGGGCCAACACAAAGCATCGGCAGCCATCCTGGGAGGGGCGGGCCAGGCAGGGAGGGACCCACGCTGCTGGGGGAGGAGCAGCTGGGAAGGGGCGGGGGCCAGAGGGCCCCCTGGCGGCTGGGGGCACCATGATCGGTATCTTGGGTGTCCTTGGCCAGAAGCCTTGCTCATCCCTCCTCTGGACACAGAAGAACGGGGACAGCGCGGGGTGACCCCTTATGATGCTGAGAGAAGCGCCCACTTCCTGGGCACCGAGGGCCAGGATACAGAACAGCGACTCCTTACAGGAGCCTGCACGCGTGGCGCAGATGCAGGCATCCGGCGCCAGCCGCGCCCCCGGCCCACCTTGCTCCTTGATGACGGTGATGTTCAACCAGGCGGCGGCCCAGGGTGGCCGTGCCCGCCGCGACGTCGATGGCCTCCACCAGCAGCTGCTTCTCGTCGTCGTCCTCGGGCCGCATGAACAGGGGCACCCGCACGTCCACCAGCTCCACGCCCTCCTGGAACTCCACCATGCCGCGGGCGTCTGGCGGGGGCAGGGCGGGGCGGTCAGGCGAGGGCTGTGGCCGTGGGGGTGGGGCGCGCGGGGAGCTGCCCGCCTACCCTGCTCGGCAGTGAGGGTGTAGTAGCCGCGGGCCACCTTCAGCTCGTGGAAGGCCCCCTGCTCCACCTGCTTCTCCGTCAGCTTCAGCAGGGCCGGCTTGGCCGAGCGCGGCGCCATCAGCACCGTGTCCACGATGGTGTGGTCTTGCCTGGGGGGGGCGGGGAGCAGGTGGGTGAGGGGCCACGCCGGCACCTTCTGCCCGACTGGGGCTTCAGAGTCCTTGCCAGCCCCCCACCCTCGCTCTGCAGCCTCGGGACCTCGTCTGTGGGATGGGAACAGCCATGGCGCCTGTCTCCCCCGGGGCGGGTGGCACTCTTGGCCCCCAGGCACGCTGGGGCCTCACGCATCCCAGAAGGGCCAGGATTTGGGGTGCAGCTCTGTGGCCTGCTGGTGCCCACAGGAGCCCCTGACCAGCTTCAGGTTTTGCTTGTTTCTGGGGTGGGGGCTGCTGCATGGTAAGTGCTCCCCTGGGGTGCGGGGGAGTTTGAAGGACAGGACGCGGGGAGGGACTAACCTGTGACAGGTGCATGGGGCCCTCCCTCCCTTCCTATGGGACTGGGGCAGGTTTGGGGCTGGGAGCAGGAAGGCGGGGGCAACTTCAACTCACTTTTTCCCGGCGTTGGGCTGCTGCCTGTGGGAGAGAGAGGGGCTCGTGAGCCAGACGTTCCTTGCTGGGGGGGGGGGGGGGCTGATCTCTTGGCGTCACTCCTCAACCCCACTAGGGCCCTGGAGACCAGTTTGGGGCTGGTGGGGCCCAGCACAGCCAAGCTGCCCCCCAGCCCGGGGCACCCAGGACTCACCGGAACTTGGTCTGCTGGAGCTTGTGTGCACCTGGGATCTGTCTGTACACCTCGTTCAGCTGCCAGGCAAGGTGCGGGCAGTGAGCTGGGCCCAGGGAAGCCGGGTGGGCTTTCTACCCAGAGGCCCGTGCAAGGCTGGCTGGGGAGGAGGGGGCGGGCAGGCCCATGGGGGTCCTGAGACCCACACTCTGTCGCCACCCCAAGTCTGGAAGCAGTCAGGCACACATCCAAAGCGCCTTATCTCCTGCCCAGAAAGTCCCTCCCCTCCCCCCCACCGCCCCATCATGGCACCCACGCCCGCTGTGCCACCCGCCCGGTGGCTCTGGTCCTCACATTCTCCTCCACTTCCTGGCGCAGCTGGGCGCACTCCCGCGTGTCCGGCTTCAGCAGGTTCTCGGTGCAGAGACGGGCGAGACGCAGGGACAGTCCGTAAGGCACTGGGGTGGGGAGGGGGCGCAGGTGTGGTCAGGGCAGACCTCCCCGCCCCCGGCAGCCGCGCTAGCACAGGGGAGGGCCGGCAGCAGGGCCTCAAGCTGCGGCACCGTCAGGAAGGGGGCCAGGGAGGCGGGGCCCGAGCTTGCACCCTGGACGGGACAGGTGCCACCCACCGCAGACCGGGCGGAGGTCCCCAAGGCCACTGCCCCGAGCGGCGGCGGCAGCCCCGCCTCACCCGGCTCGCTGGGGTTGGTGCTGGCCGTGTGGGCGGCGAGCCCGGGCCGCTGCACGTTGTTGGTGATCTTCCAGCGGACGGTGTCCCGCCCCTTGAGGTTCCCGCTGCGCAGCATGGGCGTGTCCAGGTGGTCGGAGGCCATGAGGTTCTCCCGCAGCAGGTAGTGGTCTTCCTTGAAGCCCACCATGTGGCCTGCGGGGCAGGGACCTCAGGGCAGGGCCTCCAGAGCCCGCCCAGCCACACCCTCCCAGGTGGGACCGCGCCCGCCCAGCCAGCCCCCTCCCCTCCGCCCCAGGGTCCCCTGTACCTCGGCTGCAGCAGGGGAGAAGGGCCAGGCAGGCCTAGGAGAAGGGAGTGGGCGGGCGAGGGCGGTGAGCCCCTCCAGCCGGCAGCCCCCACCCCCACGCCAACGCTCCTGAGCCTCCCCAGGGGCAGAGATAGGGCCATGAGGCCAGGGTGGGCACAGAGGGCGAGCGGGCACAGGGTTCCCAAAGTGTGGAACCCCAGAAGCCCGCCAGATGCTCCGTGGGGGAAAGGTTCCGTGGCCAAACCCTTTGGGAAGTGCCAAATCGGTGTCTCGGACGTGTCTGACCACGTAACACACTGGGGCGGCCGCAGGTGCCGTCTCTACCCCTACAACCCAGCACTCCCTTCGGTGCTGTCTGCCTCGTCTCCCTGCCTCTGGTCGGTTCCGCTCCCCCACCCCACCCCCACAACCCCCGCCCCAAGACTGTCAGCCGCACCAGCAAGTGGGCCCGAGAACTTCATGTGACTAACATCGCCACTTTCAGAGGGCTGTTCCAACAAACCCAATTTACGGATGAGGAAACCGAGGCACGCAAGCATTAAATAACCTGTCCGAAGTCCCCCAGGGAGCAGAATCCAGGGAGCCTGCAGGCTCTGGGGAGCAGGCTGCAGGGTGGGGGGAGCCTGGGGGGGCTCACCTTGCAGCAAGAACAGTACTTCCAACAGAGCAGCAGCAGCAAGGCCAGCAGCGGCAGCAGGAGGATGAGCAGGGGATGAGCCCAGTAGGTGCCGGCGGGCAGTCTGCGGAAGGCAGAGGAGGGAGGCGCTGCCCTCCCGCCTGGCCCCCGCCCCCCGCGGGTGCCCAGGCCTCCTGCAGCCCCCAGCCCGCTCACCCTTCTTCCTGTGCACCAGGACGGTGCTGTTGGGCCCGGGGGTGCCGTCGCCCTCCACGGTGTAGCTGTAGCTACAGTCGTCGTCCTCGTCACGGAAGGAGCAGTACCCGATCAACGTCTTCCGCTGCACCCAGACACAGTCAGCGGCCCCGACCGCACCCCTGCCCCGGGGAGCCCCGCCCAGGGAGAGGGCGCGTCCCCCCTCAGTGTCCCCCCGCGGGTTCTGCAGCCACGCCCAGCTCTGCCAGCTCTGTCTGGACGGTGTGACCTCAACCCAGATCTGACTTCAAGCCCCCCCAGCTGCTTCCGCCCCACCCCTGCTCCCACCCCCCTACCTCTCTTAAGCTCGTCCACCATCTTGACCTTGAAGCTGCACTCCTCGCACGTCCGCCCCTTCTTCGCCCCCGTGCCCCAGGCCTGGCACTGCACGCAGGAGCGCAGGTCCTCACAGAGGCCCAGCGGGATCTGGGCGGGCAGAGGGGGCAGTGGGCACTGTGCCGGGGTGGGGGGGCAGCTGCCAGGCCCTGCTCCCCAACCTCTCGCCCCCCCGCCCACGCCCCAGCGACCCCGGCCTCACCAGTGAGTAGTTGATCTCACAGATGGTGTCGGTGTACAGCGACTGCTGGTGGCAGTGGCAGCGGCCACACTCGCAGTAGCCACGCCCGTTGCAGATGCCCTGGGGCGGGAGGGGCACCAGTGAGCTGGCTGTGCCCAGCGCTGTCTGCTCCCCTCCCCGCTGCCCATCACGAATCCTCTGACTGGGGCTCGCGCTGCTGTCCACACCGCCTGCCCCGTGCCCAGGCCTACCCCGTGGCTGTCAATGCATGTGGCGTTGCTGAGGGGACAGTCACAGCTGGGGCCCGTCCAACCGGGCTCGCACACACACTGGCCCATGGAGCAGCGGCCTCGGTCTGCAGATGGGCAGGGAAGGGAGAGGACGGACGGCCACGTCAGCACGCGCGCCCCAGGCTACCCACCAGCCAGCGAAGGGAGCTGTGGGTGCTGGGCTGCTCCCAGCCCACGGCAAAAGGCGCCTCTCCCACTCTTCTGGACGTTCTCCCCTCCCCGCCGTCCACTGTGCAGCCAGAGTGACCATCCCAAAACAAACCACCAATCACACCCTGTTTAAGAACCTTTGCTGGGTCCTGGCCAACACAATAAGGTAAGAAAAAGAAACCAAATGTGTGACTATCAGAAAGCAAGAAATAAAGCTGTTTTAGTTCTATCTTTTGATTTCTGCTATTTCTTTTTCTTTTTTCCTTTTTTTTTTTTTTTTT